CCTACATCATTCACAATTCATAGGGAATTGCGACATCGAACAGGATCACTACAACCACAACCAGGGCAGGATGCGAGTTATGCTTAGCTGTATATCTATGACCCTTATTCAGCTTTAGAAATTCGTAATCGTAGAAATCCTAACTTGAGAAGGGATATTCTCAAAACTATTCAGGATAGTTTGTTGCAAGTAAATACATTTGTAGATAAATATCGCCAGGCTCATGCCATTTTACATCAATTAGACTCGGCAGGACACAATCTACCTGCTCATCTTCATTACAGTTCAACAACTGATCGACGTCGGTATAACCTACCAACTACAGATGAGATTGCAATTGTAATACCAAGTGATGGAACAGAGGTAAATGGAATGAGAGATATTATTTTACATTTCCGAGGAAATAATGAGTTGATGCAAATTAATGAATGTCACCCAGCATACTTGCCATTACATTATGTTCTATTATTTCCATATGGTGAGCTTAGATGGGAACCTGAGTTGAAATTGTGGAATGTTCAGTATGATCGACCTTCAACTGATCGACTTACTCAAATGAATTTTTATAGTTATCGTTTGTTTGAACGACCCATAGAGTATTCAACAATTTTGAGAGGTGGGAAACTATTTCAAGAGTTTTTGAAATCTTTCAAGAGTTTTTGAAATCTTTCAAGATTCAATGGCTAACACACGATACAACTAACACCCAGATATTTTTCTTACCATGACTGCAACTGAGCAAAATCGATTGACATACTACAAGCTTAATCAAGGGAAACTTCGGGCTGAGCTTTACCAAGAGTTGTCAGATATGGATCCAGATTATGTGCGACCTGGACAAATTGGTCAAAGGTTTGTTTTGCCATCTTCATTTACTAGTAGTCCTAGACATATGTTTGAAATCTTTCAAGATTCAATGGTTAACACACGATACAACCAACACCCAGATATTTTTCTTACCACGACTGCAAATCCCAATTGGCCAGAAATTACTTCAGCATTATTACCATATCAAAAACCTATTGATTGCCCTAATTTAATTGCTCGTGTTTTTGAGTTGAAGAAAAAATGTTTGATGATGGAGACAGAAACAAATAAAGTGTTTGGAAATAAAGTTGCACATGTTTTTACAATTGAATTTAAAAAACGAGGCCTCCCTCATATGCATGCACTTTTATTTCTCAAGAGTCCAGACAAAATTCGAACATGTGCTCAAGTAGACAAATTGGTTTGTGCAGAATTTTCAGACCCAAAAGATGATCCTATGCTTTTTGAAACTATCAAATGTTGTATGGTACATGGACCATGTGGTGCTCGAAATCCGCAAGCACCATGTATGGAAAATGGTAGATGCACTAAGAGATATCCTCGAGCTTTCACAGAAACAACAACTATGGATCAAGATGGATACCCTATCTATCGTCGTCGCAATAATGGTCAAGTACATACTGTGAGAGGGCAAGAAGTTGATAACAGGGATGTCGTACCATACAATGCATATCTTTCAAAACTTTTCAACTGTCATATAAATGTGGAAGTTTGTGCCGGAATGAGATGTGTCAAGTATATACATAAGTACATTTATAAGGGTTATGATCGTACAACGATGGTGTTAGGAATGATAAATGAGATTCAACAATATCTCAATGCAAGGTATATTGGACCTCCAGAAGCTGCTTGGCGAATATTTGGTCATCCTTTGCATGCAGAGATGCCAACAGTTGTACGATTGGCACTTCATTTACCTGGAATGCATCGTGTTGTTTTTAACCCAGAAGAGTCGTTACAAACAATTCAATCTAGAGCTGGTCAACAAATGTCAACTTTTACTGGCTTCTTTGCATATTGTGCTGCCAGTGAAGATGAATGTCCATTCACTTATCAAGAATTTCCATAACATTTTGTTTAGCTCAAGTCAGAAAAGAGATGGAAATCAAGAGAAAGGGGATATGCAATTGGTAGAATGTACTTTGCTAGCTCTAATTGTGGCGAAAGATTTTATCTACGTTTGTTACTAACCGTTGTCAAATGACCAAAGTCGTTTTAGTCTTTACGCACGGTCGATAATGTTGTACATGATACATTTAAATTAGCATGTGTTGCAAGGGGGCTTTTAGAAGATGATGAAGAATGGATACAATGCTTGAAAGAGGCTGCAGTCATAAAAAACTGGATATCAATTGAAGAGATTGTTTAGTATTATTCTCACCCAGTGTTCTCCACTAAATCCATGTGCATTATGGAATCAATTTTCAACGCATATATGTGATGATCTTGCAGATAAGTTTTGTACATTGTTTGTCATTTCTAAACCAACTGAGGCTCAAATTGAAGATTATGGTCTCCATCTTTTGAATCAAATGCTTCATGAATCAGGCAAAAGTTTAATTGACTTCCCACCCATGCCACAACCTACTGCAAATTGGAATGCAGTAGTTGGTAATCGATTGATAGTTGAACATCAACAACTGTAGAGTGAGGCACAACATGCAGATCCACAAATTACTATTGATTGTCTCAATAATGGACAGCGGAATGCTTATAATACAATCACTTCTTCAGTTTCCCAAAATAAAGGAACTGCTTTCTTTCTGAATGGGGGTGCAGGAACAGGGAAAACATTTCTATACAATACGATTACATTAAAATGTCGTAGCCTTGGACATATCGTTGTTACTATGGCTTCGTCTGGAATTGTATCACTGTTACTGGTAGGAGGTCGCACTGCACATTCAACATTTTCCATTCCGTTAGATGTATTGGAAAATTCACTTTGTGGGTTTAGCAAACAATCATTACAAGCGGAGTTATTTAGAGAAACAAAACTCATAATTTGGAATGAAATTCCTATGCAACATAGACATTGTATTGAGGCGGTTGATCGTACATTGAGGGATATTTGTGATAGTGAAAAGCCATTTGGGGGTATTACTGTTGTTCTTGGAGGAGACTTTCAACAAATCTTACCAGTTATACCCAAAGGAGTTCGTGAGCAAATTGCGAATGCATCATTAAGACACTCTGTTCTATAGAAGCATATATATATCTTGACTTTGGATTTGAATATGCGCTTGAATCATGAAGGCCATGAAAATGCTAATTTTGCAAATTTCTTGATGGAGGTAACACTACTTTAACCTGTATTATAAAGATTATTTTAAATTAATAAATTGTGTTTACACTTACTTTTTTATTGATTTCACTTTTTTTTAGATTGGGACCAATCCTCAAGAAATCGTTAACCTTCCATCAACAATACACAAATGTCAAGATTTGAATGAATTACTCTCTACAGTTTATCCACAATTGAATATGATAGAGACATCAACCCCAACATTTTTAACTGAACGCACAATTCTGTCTACGCGTAACGATGATGTCAGTGACATTAATACTACTACGTTGAATATCTTTCCAGGGAGATTATATACTTATCTTGCAGTACATAAAATGTCTGAAGATAATGAAATTGATCCTACCATTACAAATAGATATCCTAATGAATATTTAAATTCATTGGATCCTCTTGGGTTGCCAACTTTTAAGTTAGAGTTGAAAGTGGGTTGTCCTATAATATTGTTGAGAAACATTGCACCGAAAGATGGACTATGTAATGGTACAAGATTGATGGTTACTAGGTGCGGCACTCGCATAATTGAAGCTCAAATTTTAACTGGAGAAAAGTTTGGCAATTTGGCATTCATACCAAGGATATCTTTGACACCATCTTCTTCAGAAATGCCTTTCCAAATGACAAGACGTCAATTTCCAGTCCGATTGGCATATGCCTTGACCATTAATAAATCTCAAGGGCAATCTGTGAAATTTGTTGGGGTTGATTTGCGTATACCAGTGTTTAGCCATGGGCAATTATATGTGGCATTGTCTAGATGTACATCCTTTGATCGTATGAGTATTCTCCCCCCTAAAGATAATTTGGATTCCACTATAATATTGTTTATCCTGAAGTATTGCTGTAGTATTCTATGCAGATTAAATGACGTTTTTTTAGAAGGTAACCACGTAGATTTATTTCTGTTGATTATATAACTTTTTAAAAAATTTCAATTTAATAATAATTTGAAATTTGGACTTTTGTAGGATTGGACCGAAAAATCTATGGAGCTTAAAAGGAGAAATACGACTACCTTGCGTCGATGGGGATGTAATAAGGTAATTTCAATCTGAAAGTATTTTGACATGTATATTTCCAACAAATGTACTAACTTATATTTTTTTTGTTTCCACAAATTACCAGATTATTGTGCATATTCCTCATTGGGAATACATAAAAGTTGATACAAAGACTTTTTGGAAAGTAATGAGGAGGAAGTTTGGGCAAACGCATATTTGAAGACATGTTATTGACACATCTTTTGTAAAGCATACATATTTTTGGTGTATGACAATATAATTTTTAGTGTATGACATGTTAGTGACACATCTTTTGTAAAGCATACATCTTTTGTAAAGCTTTAACCCACTTTTTGTAAAGTTTTAACCCACTTTTTTGGTGTATGACAGTAAAACTTTATTTCTGTTTTTTATTCAGTGTTTACACTTTTTTTTACTGCCTTTTATATTTTGATATGCAATATAACTTTAAATCTTATATGTTTGTTTCTTAATTTGCATTAAGATTAGGGAGAGTTGTTATTTTATTTGAGTTTTGTAGAGCGTGTAATACAAGCAAAATTGTTATAAGTTCTTTAAGAAGAAAAATATTTCAATATATTTTTTCAGTATCTTTATTAAAAAATGACACAAATTTTATAAATTTCAACATAATACGTATAAATTATAACTGTATTTTAATCTAAAAATTATTTACACTGTGCCTTTAGACACAGACATACGCTAGTATATATATAGGACAGTATAATTATAAAATAATAATAAAAAAAAAGTGTGTCAGAGGAATTTGCCTAAAATAGCATTTGCCAAAAATATAGGGGTGTCAGCGTAATTTAGGGCACAGTTCCAATTTCCAACATAGGTCCCTCTCGAAAATTCGATATCATCTACTCCATTTCAGGAGTTTTTCAGAACCCTAGTTTTTTGACTGGTGAACCAATGAGTGACTGTCCTTCAAAATTTCAATTCAATGGATCCATACTATGAACAGAGATTGATAGACGAGGTCCAATACCTCCACTCCCTCTGGCACCAGGGCCCTCCCTCAAACCCTATCCCTAACCCCAATCACAATTCTTCAATTCACGTCCAACAACTCAACAATGGAAACACGAAGCGTAGACCCAGACCCAAAAATCCCAACAAAAACCCTCAATCTGACCCAATCCTCCCCAAACCTTCCAATTTCAGACCGTCGAAGAGGCAAAGGATGAGGTTCAAAAGCAGAACCAAAATGGTTCAGAAAAAGACTCCGGAGACCCAAGAACAAGCCCGGTTCGCCGCAACCCAAGTCCACCAAAAGGCATTGAAGGCTGCCCAAGAGTTTTTTGCGGGTGATGTGGATAGTGATGAGGAAGCTAGTGGTACTAGTATTGGAGATGGGTATGAAGAATATAAGTTCTTTTTCAAGTTGTTTATTGAGGATAGTGAATTGAGGGTTTACTATGAGAGGAATCATGATGTGGGTGATTTTTGTTGCTTGGTGTGTTGTGGTGTTGGTGAAAATGTGGGGATGAGGTTTAAGCAATGTGCAGGTCTTGTTCAGCATTCAATGGAGACAGGGAAGGTGAAGAAGAAGCGAGGACACCGAGCTTTTGGGCGGGTTGTTTGTAAAGTTCTTGGTTGGGATATTGATATGTTTCCAAGTACTAATCTCCTCGTCCGCACCTCGGCTAAACCCGAGTGTCAGGTAGCTAGTAGTTTTTAATCATGTCTGAAGTTTGTTTATCTGCATAAATTGTAACATTACAGTGCAATTTTAATCATATTTGCGTTCGGAGAATGTTATTAATGTTGAATTGATTCCAAATGAGGTTTCTGATGTTGATCAGGAGGAAGAGTTGAACAATTTTGGAGTTGCTGCTACGACAAATGTTATTAGTGATAATGGGATGTTTTGCAAGGATATTTAATTGTTAGTTAAATGTTTTAGGAGTAATATGGAGTTTTGGGTTTGTGATATTGAAATTTAAGACAAGGTATACGTTAATTGTCGTAGATCATGTATTTTTGTAATTATATAAAGAAGATTGTCTAGCCATGGACCATTTTATGTCTTTGATTTGATATCTTGTATTTATTTATTTATTTTTTGACATTACAAATAGTCAGATAGTATGAGTGAGCTTAACTATCTGTAAAGGGGTATGACAGATATTATTCAACTTGAATCCTGGCTTGTAGGACCGCTGTCATACTCTGTCCAACTTCTTGTCACCTCTATTTTCTACTCATTACATCCCCTTGTGTTTGTTATGTTGAACTTCACTGTCAATACCAATCTTACCTGCTGTTTCTGAGCATGATTGTGCCCGATTTTGAGTACACTATGACTGTCTTTTTTATATAGAGCACCCCAAGACATCCATGAAAGATGTAGTTTATGTCTCTTTTCTTCCTTGAAAAAAAGGCAAAGGGTAACTGTCTATCTGCAGGGGAACTTTTTGATACTAATGAAATTAGGGGGGGGTGTTGGCGAAACTAGTATCTGTTGTATATAATTAATGAGTTTTCTCTCCTGCAGTAACTGGCTATTAGGGGGTTGACTGAATTATAGCTTTCACAATAATTTTGACATTTTTCTTTTTCACTATAACTAAAATATAGATAATGCAGGAACGTAGCAAGGGCGATGGTGTTGCAAATGAAATAGAAAACGATCAGAAGGGGGTCGTTGCAGTTAATGATCTGAAGGAAAATATTGGGAATCCAAATTGATGTGGACGTGGTGGAAATCAATATCAAGGAAGCGATCTATGATTTGTCTGTTGTCTGAGATCTTCACTAATCAGAAGGGGGTCGTTGCAGTTGTTAATGATCTGAAGGAAAATATCGGGAAATTGATGTGGAGGTGGTGGAAATCAATATCAAGCGATCTATGATTTGTCTGTTGTTTGAGATCTTCACTGATTCAATTTGCATCATTTGGTGCTTGTGGTTTGTACATCATGTAATTTGCAGGTGTATTTGAAGGTAGATGGTCTTTCTTGGGGCAACTTTTTTGCGAGTAACCATTCTGTAAGAAGTGAGAACAGGCTCTACATGAAATTGGATATGCACAGGAAAATTACTACTCTCTCATGTTTGTTAGAGAAGGTGTGTTGTTAGATCTGCTAGCTTAAATTCTTATGTTGAGGCCATTTTATTATGGATTTTGTTCATAAACCTCAGTGGAGGGGAATATCCATTATATTGAGGATACAAGTGAATGAGTTTTTCGGTATGCTCTATTGTAATGATGTATACATTCTTATTACTTTTTTATTTTTATATTTTTATGAATGTATACTTAAATCTCTCTATGGTCATGGGGAAACAAGAGATCATTGTCTCTGGATCAGATTAGGTATGATCCCATCCCGATCCAAATATAGATAGTAAGGGTGGTAGGGGGTGGTATTTACGGTGGAAGAGTTACTTACACACAAACCTATCATGTTGGTTATCTACCAGTCTACAACTCACTTGTTCCCGCTTTTATTCGAAAAAAAATCTTAATATATAATCAGTAAACCACTAATAAAGAACAATTGGAACAGCTGCCTTTTTTTTTTGGCCTTATAGGTTCTGCTATCTCTTCCTGCAAAATTTGTTTATCTGCATTGTTCCTTTTTCCCCTTGCTTGGCCAGTATGTTTGTGTGTCAACAAACTGTAGGCACAAATAAATATATCAACTAGACACAATATACATGTCAACTGTTGAATTCACATGCAACCTCTTGTTTTGGTTAAGGGAAATTATTCACTAGGTTCAGAGTGTAATTATGTTTATATGATACTCCAAATTAATTACGTAATGAAAGATTTTATATGTGAAATATATCGATTAACCTTTGCTATGTACTTATTATGAGACAAATGATGATTTACTTAGTATGTGTTGTGGTTTTTAATGATGCAGAGTACACTTATGTAGATAACCATACCGTACTTCAAGAATATTTAATAATTTTATATAACTATTCAGAAATTTTAAAGTATTATGTGGCTTTGCTAAACTGATTATGTAACAATTTTATTTTTTAAATGAAACATGGCAATTCACATTTGTTAACTAATCATGTGATAAAAGATAAGAAAGATGATCCCCTAATTTTGCCTCCCTCCAAATTTCACTCCATTGATATAAAATTAGGGAACTAAAAGATGTACAGAAAAGTAGAGAGGTAATATGATCTAAATAAGTATACCAAACAAACTTTTAACGTCATTAGGGTGAAATTGGGGGGCCTTAATTAGGGGGTGTAGTGAGATTGTATTTAAAATGTGCACTTATAAAACACAATTTCTTTTAGGATCATTTCTTTTCTTTTCTTTTTTTGGGAGAAATAACAGTACAGTGTAACAGTCAAACAAAATTTACAAATCAGTGAAATTTTTTTATACTTTAATAATTAAAATGTTTTACTTTTTCATGATTTTGTAATTTTTGTCACTACTAATACTCTCCAATTTTTTATTTTATTTTATTTTATTTTTTTGGGTAAAGCCAATTCCAAAAGGTCCTTTATTTTTGTTTTATTTTAAACATTTTTCTACTAAAAAAATAGAAATTTGATTAAAACCCCCTCATAATAAAAATTTGATACATTAAGAACAAATACAAAAGTTTTCCTTAAAAATCTAACACATACCACTATTACCAAAATATTAGTAACTTTTTGGTTATTTGGCTAAAATATGAGCTAAAAAAAACTAGTATGTTTGGGATGACTTTTGGATTTTTTACGAAAAGATGTGCAAAAAGTGGAGAGAAAAGAAAATCTTTCCCTTTTTGATATGGGTTGTTGGCTTTTTAATTTTTTTAGTGACTTTTTGGCGTTTTGGCTAAAAAAATATTTGCCAAACAAAGCCTAAATTTTAAAATAATACTATTTTTTTTATCTAAATGTCAATTTTTAAATGAAATTAGTATTTTTAAAATCATCTCATCAAAATCTATCAAATAAGATCTATGTTGATTATAAAATTCTTACAGAAAAAGAAAAAAATTATTGTCGACATTGATGTAAACAGTAGCATGTTACTTTGTTTCACAATAACATGTTACTCTAGTTCAAAATAATATGTTACTCTGACAATATTATAAAAAAAAAATTATTTTATCTTTACTCAATTATACCCCTTTTCCTTAAGAAATTTATGAAATAAAATAAATTGAGATTTTATTTTTACCAAATAAGGCCAAGTTTGAGAAGACTAAAAAAGTGCACTTTTTGTCTTTTTGGACTAAAAAATTGAGGTTGAAAATATGGATGTTTGGGTTAACTTTTTGACTTTTTATTGAAAAATGTGTAATAAAAAAATGAAAAAATTGATTCGTAGGGACCTATTTAAATTAAAATCACTTTTCAAAATAAGCAAAATTCAAAATTTTTTGACTTTTGGTGAATAGTGTTAACTTTTTAACTTTTTGAGTAACTTTTTGACTTTTTGACTTTTTTGAATCTTCCCAAACTTGGCCTAAGAGTCTAGCAGAGAGGTTCTGACTAAAATCTTTCTTAAAAAAATATGTACAGAGTAGCCCATGCTTGCTCCTCCTTAGGAATAGCGCAAATCGTGCAGCCAAACACTACCTGAAAAAGCCTCTATATAGAAGAAAGTGTTGATTACCGATCAGCTCAGAAGCTCTTGATATTTACAGAGAGAGAGAGAGAGAGAGAGAGAGGAGAAGAAGAAGAAGTAGAAGAAGAAGAAGAAGCATGTCAGGAGGAGGTGGTCAGATCACACAAGACTGGGAGCCGGTGGTGATCCGCAAGAAGGCTCCGACCGCCGCCGCCCGCAAGGATGAGAAAGCCGTCAACGCCGCTCGTCGCGCCGGTGCCGAGATCGAAACCATCAAAAAATGTCTGTTCTCTCTCTCTCTCTCTCTCCCTCTCTCTCTCTACACTTTTTCTTCGTCAATTAGGGTTTCTGGTTCCTTTGCAATTCTCGAATCGATTGGTCTTTGATCTCTGTTTGTAGTATGAGTTGAGTTGTGTATGAATGGGCTCGATTGTTGCTGATTAGCTGTGAATTGATGCATGTGGGGAAGAGACTTTGATTGATTGAAATGAAGAAGAAAAAAAAACAATGAGACATTGAATTTTAAATGTCCTACGGCTCTCTGTTTTACGTTTTTTCACTTTTGTTTTTGAATGTTCTAATTTTATCATTTCAAATTCTAATATTTTGATTTATTTTTTAATCTAAACCAATTTGGCCGTTAAATAAAACCGATGTAAAAAAAGGTATTTTAGTTATTACCTACATTAAGTTTAATAATCATTTTTTTCATTGATTTTATTTAACATAGGCTGATGATTTAGGTTGAAAACAAATCGAAAAGTTATGATATAAATTGATAAATAAAAAACTCAGGTTTATTTTGTTGTAAGGGTTAAACTTTTTGTTTTGGTAATTTCTCCGAAATTTTAACATTGGAATGTTCAAAAATCAATAAATTTTAATTGATACAGTTTTGATGTTTCTCTTCTCTCTTTTGCATAAGTCTCAAGAGGCAACAGTATATTACATTAAGGCCATGTTTGTTTAGGTAGACATGAGCTTGGGATTGGACTAATAGTCCAATAAAATTATTAATCCGATGTTTGGTTAAACAATTGAAGTACGGTGGTAATTTCTCCGAAATTTTAACATTGGAATGTTCAAAAATCAATGAATTTTAATTGATACAGTTTTGATGTTTCTCTTCTCTCTTTTGCATAAGTCTCAAGAGGCAACAGTATATTACATTAATTATATTATGTGCTATATTGTTTGTGCTAATAGCAAGAATTAGAGGTTTTGGTATGTGTTAATCATTTGAATTTCCAGTGCTGATAACTCATTACTTTCTCCTACAGCAAATGCGGCCTCAAACAAAGCTGCCTCTAGCAGCACTTCTTTGAATACTAGAAAGCTTGATGAAGAAACAGAGAATCTTACGCGTGAGTACATGTTAACTTTTGTACTTACGGATATTTATAGCTCGTTTACTTCCTTTGAATTCCTTGTACATTTTTTGCACAAACTTTACACTTCATTTCAGTCCACTTGGAGATGAAACATGTGTTGCTATAGCAGTTGAGACCATGTTTATTTAGACTTTTTATTTTTTTTTCAAAATTACATATACATTTTGTTTACTGAGCATGTAGCTTTTGCTAGAGCAGAATGGAAAAAATGATTCGTATAGCCTACTCCACCTGATTGACACACGAGGCTTAGTTTGGTCTTGTGGCTTCTCATTTCAGTCAAGATTTTGTTTGTTGGAGTGAAGTTTTGATGCGTCTTGTTTGGCCTGGGCTTGCTGTTTGGCGATGAAGTGAGATGCATCAGGTTTTGGGTTTGGGTTTGGGTACGGGTAGTCTAAATGCCACATTTATGATTTTTTTGGAACTTCTTTGTTTATGGATTCAAGATAAAGGATTATATAACAATGATTAAAATAGAGATTTGAACTAAATAATCAACCTCAACTCAGCAAAAGGACAATCAAATCATCTCAAAGCACATTGTTCTGTATTCTTATAGTTAAGCTTTCCTTAAGATGCATGCTGTGGTGTATGTGTGGTGTACATATTTTAGCCTGTGTGCTCTTGCAACTGACTAGTTATTGTGCAAAGACTCATGCTTGCGTGTACTGTGTGAAATTGAACAGATGATAGGGTGCCAACTGAACTGAAGAAAGCCATCATGCAAGCTCGGATGGATAAGAAACTCACTCAGTCCCAACTTGCACAAGTCACTCTTTCTCTCCCTCTATCAGACACAAACACATCCTCACAGAGTAGGTCCCCACCTAATTAAGGTATAAAGATCTTGACTGGGTTGATTGTCTTTTGTTGTGCAGATGATCAATGAGAAGCCGCAAGTGATACAAGAATACGAATCAGGAAAAGCTATTCCCAATCAGCAGATAATCTCAAAACTGGAGAGGGCTCTTGGTGCGAAGCTGCGTGGAAAGAAGTAAAACAGGGAAGACGACTTTTAGCACGGTCATTGAGTGCCTCTTTTGAGTCTATGTTGTGGTGGTGTACATGAACCCTTTTTTTCCCCTATTCCGTCATGGCTCATTTGTAAATAATAAAAAAAAAAACTATGGCTGATGAATTTGGCTTTCCATGGACATGTGAAACTTTGTTTCCTTTTGTTTTCGGAGCATGGTGAAACTGCAACTTGAATGCGATGTTGTGTGGAGATCTTCTGCACTATTGTGATGGTTTTTGCCTTATCTAGATTTGGAATCATGTGTATGGTCTCATAGGAGTAATAGCGCTTGCAGTACGGCTTTCTAATTATGTCTCTTGGAAACCAGCTAAATTTTCCGTCAGTTTAGAGTTTTGTACGAAAAAGAGGTATCTTTCGGATTGGAGCAAAGGAAAATAGAATTGGGAGGGGTTGGTAGGTTTAGAGCAACTCCAGTGTGCTATTATAAAGGAGGTTATTGTTAAATTCTAACAGTTCAGTTTTTTTCTTTTTTCATTGATTAGTCAACACGGTTGCCAAAAAAAAAATGACATATTGCAGCGTGTTCATGCAGATCAGGATGCAAATGATTCAATGGATAAACGTACACTATGATTTGAATAAATCATGTGTTAAAATGACATTTGCATGAATTAATGTCTGACATAAGTGGGCTTACAGGAGCTTTTGTCCCATCACTTAGAGTTCAATGCATAATTTAAATACTAAAGCATAACGTTGCTGGAGTCCAACGTTATACCAAGGACCAATGACATCTAAACACGTATCAAGGGAAGAACTAGCCACATCAGCAGACAAAGATCTTGCAGAGTTATTGCATCACACATCAGTCACTAATAAAGTTTCTTGCAGCATTTATTACGATAACCCTTTCACGTCAGAACATAATAGCTTCACCATGAACAAAGCAAGCTAGAACATAGGCTTTCGGCTAACATGACAGGTCAGAGTGGACAAGGAAATGATGAACAAATGATATAAGCAGGTTTCTAAGACGAAGGGAAGGTTAAGTTCTTTATCACCATTCTATCTCCACATTCCATTACTCTCTCTTCTCTAACTTGCTCGTCGGAGGGTTCGCTGGGGGACTCTCGTTTCCCGTTGAACTCTTGTACAGGTTTCTCAGTGGGCCCAACAATCGGACAACGGTGTGGGAGGCGTGGATCAACCAGACTCGTTACACAGAGACAAGTGGTATCATCAGTTGGCGCTGCCTGTGGGAACCCTTTCGCTCTATATGGCAACTGTGCTCATTGTCGCCGGAGACCCATTCCCGATAATCCCTACCTTCCAGTCACCAAGATGGATGGTCACAACTAGATCCATGGCTTCTCAACACAACGTTGCCGACCCCTAAGCCGATCCTCCTAATCCAAACAACCTACCACAGTATTTCACTGAACTCACCAACAACATTAATCGCCTAGCCGAACAAAACTAAGCCCTGATCAATGCTTTGCTTCAATAAGACCTTCCTATACCTCCTCCACCACTTCAAGGTATCTCACCCGACCGAGAACGAGCCCCGAGCCATCCCTTCCAACAATCCCACCCATCCAACTTGGAGGGTTTGTGACCCCCTTCCCAAGACATGAACCCGCCACCTCGGGCTCCACATCCATCAGTCCGAGCACCTGCTCCCGAGGGAGAGGCCAGTAGTGTCCAGCCTTCATTGCATTCTGGTGGTGACAACGTTCCTATTTGGGATGCGGAACTCCGAGCTATGAAACTCCAGCTTCAAGGAGTCATGCAGAACATACAGAATAAACCCTCTACCACAGCCAACTCACCATTCGTTGCCTCCATCAAGGACAAACCCCTACCTCCTAAGTTCAAAATGCCCTCGATCGACTCTTTCGACGGAACAATGGACCCAGTCGACCACTTGGAGACTTACAGGACCCTGATGGTCCTCCATGCATTCCCTGATGAAATCATGTGTTGGGCTTTTCCTGTAACACTTAAGGGGTCGGCCCGACTGTGGTTTAGTCAGATGCCGACGGACTCTGTCTTTACTTTTCAGCACCTAAGTGACTCCTTTTTCAGCCACTTCATTGGTACCCAGTGCCAGCGGCGTCTGGCGACCTAACTCCTTATCATCCGTCAGACGAAGGGGGAGTCGCTACGCAGCTTCGTTACTCATTTCAACACTGAAGCCTTGCAAGTGGCGGAAAACGATGATAAGGTCATTCTCACGGCTTTCATGCCCGATCTACGATCATCCGATTTCATTTTCTCCCTCTCCAAAAACCTTTCAACCTCCATGGCAACCCTCTTCTCTAAAGCCCAAAAATATATGAACGCTGAAGATTCTCTAGCTGCCCGATAAGATTCCATAACCAAAAACCCAACCCTCAGAGAGAAAAGAAAGGACTTTGAAACCAGAGCCACCCAATACACACAACAAACACCTCAGTATACCGACCGACCTGCTCAAGCCGACCGGTCGGCGCCAACCTGACTGCCCTGTCGGTTCGAACGGTACACTCCCCTCAATTCCCCTATGGAGCAAGTCTTGAACTAGATCCAACGAGATTATCCCCTGAAGTGGCCACAACCATCGCAGTCTCCTTTCAACCAGTGAGACCGGTCCAAATACTGTCGTTTCCATCAGGACCACGACCACAATACCGAGAAGTGTGTTAACCTTAAAGACCAGGTCGAGAGCTTGATACGCCACGGCCATCTCAATCAGTTCACGGCAGCTCGCCCCCAGCAACGGCCAAGGACCGAACCCCCCAAAGGTAACCACCGACGCACCCCTCCCCGACAACCCGCACAACCTAACCAAGGCAATGATCGACCCCTGCCATAACCCCGAGCACCAAGTAACCCTGCCCCTTCAATTGGTGAAATCAGAGTCATTGTCGGCCGGGCTTGCATACAGAGGACCATCCCATTCGGCCCAATAAGCATAATTTAAAACAATTAGGCAGGACTCCGATAAAGAAGTCACGACATTGGACCGCCTCTTTAAACGTTCTAAGCAGTGGATGGAACCTATCACCTTTACGAAGGCCGATTGCACAGGCATCTGCTACCCTCATGACGACCTCCTCGTCATCTCAGCTCTCTTGTCTAATTACAAAGTCAGACGAGTGCTTGTCGACAATAGCAGTTTTTCAGATATCATCTTCCTGAACACTTATCGCCAGCTCAAGGTCGGGGAGGAAATATTGTCCCCTCTCCAAACCTCATTGGTCGGCTTCACGGGGGATCGGGTGACCTCTATAGGCTCCATCGATCTTCCTATTACCATCGAAGAGTATCCACGGCAGACCACCAAGTTACTCACTTTCATTGTCGTCAACTATCCTTCCGCTTATAACATCATCCTCGGCCACACATCCCTTAACGCTTTTCAAGTTGTTACATCCACGTATCATCTGGCCAGGAAGTTTCTTACCGACCTCGGGGTCGGCACCGTAAGGGGAAAGCAGATTGTGGCCAGAGAATGCTATGTCGCTTCACTCAAAGAGGTCAAGCTGAAGGAGGCAATGATCATCGAAGGACTTAACGTCCAAGACGAAGAGGAACCAGTGAAAGAACTTGTTGAAGTCCCCATCGATCTCACCAACCCAACAAAAACAGCCAAGATCGGTAGCCAACTATCCTCCCAAGCCAAGGCCGACCTCACAGCCTTCCTAACCGAGCACAATGATGTATTTGCCTAGACCCATTCTGACATGTCGGGTATCGATCCCTCATTCATCACTCATTGTCTCAGCATTGAGCCCCATTTTCGACCCTTCCGCCAGAAGCAGTGTATCTTTCACCCGGAGCGCAACGCTCTTATTGCTTCTGAGGTAGACAAACTACTGGAGGCATGGTTTGTCAAGAACGTAGACTAACCTAGATGGTTGTTAAATGTGCTCCTAGTTCGTAAAAACAATGGCAAATGGAGGCTCTGCGTTGACTACTCTAACCTTAATCGAGCTTGCCCCAAAGACAGTTATCCCCTCTTCTGCATAGATCTGCTTGTCGACACCATGGTCGAACATCAGATGCTCAGTTTCATGGACGCCTTCTCTGGCTACAATCAAATTCTAATGCACCAATCTGACCAGGAACACACTTCATTCATCACTAACCAGGGAACCTACCACTATCGTGTTCATCACCAGATAGATCAGAACATGGAAGTGTATGTCGATGACATGCTTGTCAAGAGCAAACTCTTCTCTGATCATCTGATAGACTCGCGGGAGACCTTCGACACCCTACGTAAATACCAAATGAAGCTAAATCCGGAGAAATGCGCCTTCGGCGTAAGATTCGGGAAGTTCTTGGGTTTCATGGTCAGTCAACGGGGTATTGAGGCCAACCCTGAAAAAATCAAGGCCCTGATAGAAATGCAGTCACCCAGAATGGTCAAAGAGGTTTAAAGGCTTACTGGCAGAGTCGCCGCCCTCAACCGTTTTATTTCCCGCGCAACGGACAAGTGCCTCTCCTTTTTTAAAGTCCTTCGGCAGACTTTTGAATGGACCACCGAATCCGAAGAGGCCTTTCAACAATTGAAACAGTGCATGGCCAACCCCCTCTACTCTCTCAGGCGTTCACGGGTGAGACCCTTTTTCTCTACTTAGCCATATCAAACACCGTAGTCAGTACGGCCCTCATCAGGGAGGATGACTCAGTACAACGTCCGGTTTATTACATTAGCCGGGCTCTCAGGGGAGCAAAACAGAACTACCCATTGCTGGAAAAAATGGCCCTGGCCTTGGTCATAGCCTCAAGACGACTCCGACCTTACTTCCAAGCTCACTCCATAGTGGTCCTTACTGACCAACCTCTGAAGAAGATAATGCAACAACCAGAGTTGTCCGGCAGACTTATGCAATGGTCTGTTGAGCTCAGCCAGTTTGAAATCTCCTACCGACCTCGAACAGCGATCAAAGGACAAGCTGTCGCCGATTTTATCTTGGAATTCACCAATTTCACTCCAACCACGGCCCCCCTGCCTAGGTAATTCAACACTAAGCAGAAGATCCCCACTCTTGGACCCTCAATGTCGATGGATCATCCTGCAAAGAAGGCAGTGGGGCTGGTTTCATCCTTACCGCCCCCGAGGGCGGTTATTTCAAGTGTGCTCTCTGTTTTTTGTTCGACGCAAGTAATAATGAGGTCGAATATGAGGCCTTGATAGCAGGACTTCGCCTGGCCAGAGACATTAGTCTAAGCCATATCCAAGTGTTCAGTGATTCCCAACTGATCGTCGGACAAATTACGGGTGAATTCGATGCAAAGG